GGAATTCTAGGAGTTGAAGTCCACACATGTCAAAGTTACCAACTTTGAGACATGCTGGTTTACCCTCCACACTTCCAAAGTCAAAATCCAAATACCCCTCAACTAAGGTATGGACCTCATCCTCTTACTTGACTTCTCAGGTGGGGTCACAGCAAACAGCACTGCCCTGTGGTCTTCTGTCTTCTTAATAATCTTCGAGCAGCTTGCCTGGTCCAGGCGCTTCTTTGTGGATGAACAGCAGTAGGCGGCTGTGCAGGTACCACAGCAAAACATCTCCCGTTGGTTATGTTGGGTAGGACATTGGAAGGTCTCAACGGGACTTGCCTTTCCATGCACCCATTTGTGGCATTGCTCACCCTCCATAAGAAGAACCCCAGCATCTAAGATTAAAAAAAAGAAACAAAACATACAGATAACTCCTGCTGCACACATACATTTGCAGAGCTGGCTCTATCCCTAGGGGCAGTTAGATCAGGGGGGATCAACCTTGGCAATATCAAGACTTGTGGACTTCAACTCGCAGAATTCCCCTGCCAGCCATTCCTCAGTTCCATTCACCAGAGGATGACTGGGGAATTCTGGGAGTTGAAATCCACAAATCTTGAAGTCGCCAAGGTTGGTCACCCCTGAGTTAACAATGGCCAAATTCCAGGGGTAGATAACCATCTTATAATTTAGGTTAGAGAGTGGGAGAAATGCAGTAAAGTCCATTCCTCACTCACGAATGACATTTTTTTGGGAAAAATGGGTAAACCTGAGCATGGTACTTTAAGAAAGTGGTTCATAAGAATTTTTAAAAATAGTTATGGTTATAGCACCGCTTCACAAAGGAATATTTCAGAGCAAAAGAAATGACACACATCTTTGAGCCCTTAAATCTAGAGAAGGAAAGTAACTATTTGTGCCGTGGCAACTTCGAAGACTTACTTCCACCAGGTGTACCTGAAAATCTTCTCGTCCCACTTTACCCGGCGGTGTTCAACGCTGCCCCTTCACTTGCGCTCTTCATTTAGCCGAGTGTAGTGCAATAAGGGAATAAAGGGGGCCGATTGGAGCAACCCCGTTACCCACCCACCCCAACCCTCGAATTTCTTACTTGTCGATTCTTTCGCGGAGAATCGCCTAATCTCGCCCGCTGAGACGCCGCTAAGCAGAGTCCAAGGGTAGCTGGTCTCTTTCGCCGGCGGGTCGCCAGCGCCTGCCTTCCCCTGGCCCATAGGGGAGGTTTGGGCTTGGTGTAAGGAAGACTCCCCGGAGACGTTCAAGTGCGCGGGGCATTGCATGAGGTCATCCAACAACGGTGCTCCGTAGGGGTCGAGACGAGTCGTGTCCCTTTTACCCTCCTTGGCCGTGCAACCTAGGAGGAAGAGCAAGAGAAGGACGCGGGGGAAAAGCCTCTCCATGATGCGCCCTTAACCGTGATCCCCGTTCCTACCTCCTGTTTCCAACCCTCCCAGGCTAAAGAACCACTTTATCGCGCTCCAAGGCGCAAGAAAAGCTGGCCAGGTTAATAGGAACCTGCTCCACCCATTCACACCTGCCCTGGTGCGAAGGAGCCTGGAACTGACTCCTTGGAAATGGGATTCGGTTTACTCCCAAGGAGGACTGGTGCTTAGACTTAGATGACTTGGTTAGTTAAGATTCCTGATTTGGGTTTGAAAATTAAAGAGTGCATTTGTGGATATCCTTGGCTAAAATGGGGTTCAGAGTTCGGCAAAGTTTTAGCGTGGATAAAAGTGGGACGGTTCTCATTTCTTCATAAGATGTCCAGGTTGCCCCAGAACAGTGCCCAAATCAATTAGGTTCCCATAACAGGTTAGACTCCGGTAAGGTTGTTTCTCATGGAAGATCAAACTTAGTAGTTTTGTGAATCAGACTTTCGTGTTAAACTATAACAGAGGTTGTTTCGAACTTGATGTGTAATAAAAACACTACAGTTGTGTTTGGTTGGAGATATCGTGGGAATAGGATTGTTGCATTTAGTGCCATGGACAAAAGTGTTTAATGAATTTTAACTTTTTAACATGTATAAAATCAGCCCCTGTGGTTTATTCAATACATCATGGCTAAATCAAGTCATGCCCTACCAAGCTACATGTGTGAATCCAGACACAGTTTTGTATTATCATATCAACTTAAATATGACAAATATGAGTCAACAAGACAGAATTCATAAAAATGCCACACCAGGTCAGCTGAAGGCTAAGCAGCTGCACTGGCACAACAGTTTAAACCTGGTTTGCTGTAATGCCTACACTAAACCAGTTTGGGTTGAGTTGGAGAAGCTGCTAAGCTATGAAGCCCAGAACCCCCTAGGAATACCACAATGGCAGAGTTCACATATTGCCAAAACCAAATAGATCACATGGGTGACCATCCTCTCTGAAAAAGCAACATCTTTTTAAAGAAAAGAGCACCTCTGCTGGCCACGGAATAGAACAGAATTATTTTATTGGCCAAGTGTGATTAGACACACAAAGAATTGTGTCTTTGGTGCAGAAGCTCTCAGTGTGCATAAAGAAAAAATAAAATATATTCGTCAAGTATCATAAGATACAACATTTAATGATAGGATACTAATAAGCAATCAAATTATACTAGGAAACAATAAAAACAATATAAGTTGTAAAGGTACAAGCAAGATGGATATAGCCATAAGTGAGAAGAGATAGGTACTAGTAAGGATGAGAAGAGGAATAGTAATACAGTCTTAGTAGTTAATTTGACAGTGTTTGTGGGAATTAGTTGTTTAGCAGAGTGATGGCATTTAGGAAAAAACTGTCCTTGTGTCTAGTTGTTCTGATGTGCAGTGCTCTATAGCATCGTTTTGAGGGTAGAAGTTGAAATAATTTATGTCCAGGATGTGAATGGTCTGTAGATATTTTCACAGCCCTCTGTGAAGGCAGGTTAGTAGTAATTGTTTTTTCTGCAGTTCTAATTATCCTCTGAAGTCTGTGTCTGTCTTGTTGGGTTGCAGAACCAAACCAGACAGTTATAGAGGTGCAGATGACAGACTCAATAATTCCTCTGTAGAACTGGATCAGCAGCTCCTTGGGCAGTTTGAGCTTTCTGAGTTGGCACAGAAAGAACATTCTTTATTGTGCTTTTTTGATGTTTTTGATGTTAGGTGTCCATTTTAACTCTTGAGATATGATAGAACCTAGAAACTTAAAGGACTCTACTGTTGATACTGTGTTGTCTAGTGTTGTAAGAGGTGGTAGTATAGGAGGGTTTCTCCTAAAATCTATCACTATTTCTACAGTTTTGAGTGTATTTAGTTCAAGATTGTTCTGGTTGCACCACAAGGCTAGTTGTTCAACCTCCTGTCTGTATGTAGATTAATCATCTGGAATGAGACCAATCACTGTTGTATCATCTGCAAACTTCAGTAGTTTAACAGATGGATCTTTTGAGATGCAGTCATTGGTATATAGGTATAGAGAGAAGTGGAGAGAGCACACAGCCTTGGGGGGCTCCTGTGCTAATTGTAAAGGTATCAGATGTGATTTTGCCTAGCTTCACCAGCTGCTTCCTGTCTGTTAGGAAGCTTATGATCCACTTACAAGTGTGTTCAGGTACAGCTATCTGATTTAGTTTAGTTAGAAGAATATCTGGAATGATGGTATTGAATACTGAGCTGAAGTCTACAAAGACGACCCTTGTGTAGGTCTTTGGAGATTCAAGATGTTGTAGGATGTAGTGCAGAGTCATATTAACAGCATCATATCAATCTATTTGCTCGGTATGCAAATTGCAAGGGGTCTAACAGTGGATCCGTGATGGTTTTCAAGTGGGACAGCACCAGCCTTTCAAAGGTTTTCATGACTACAGATGTTAGAGCAACTGGTCTGTAGTCGTTCAGTTCCTTGATGGTGGGCTTCTTCAGCACTGGGATGATCGTAGAGCATTTGAAGCAAGAAGGAACATAGCACATCTCTGGAGATTTATGAAAGATGTGGGTGAAGATGGAGGCCAGCTGGTCAGCACAAGATTTTAAGCAAGAAAGAGTTACCTTGTCTGGGCCTGGTGCTTTTCCTGACTTTTGTCTATGAAATAGACCTTGCACCTCATTCTCTGTTAATCACCAGAAGTGGTGGGCCCAATGGGATGTGGTAGGTTGTAGGAGGCTTGGCTGATGTTGGTGTGTCTGAGCTGGGCATTGTGGAGATGGGTGGCAGTAGTTTTCTCTCAAACCTACAGTAAAACATGAACCAGAAACATATATTTGTTGCCTACTTCAACCTGCATCCTTTAATGCTTTTAGAAGAATTCATGGCAGGAGCTAATAACATCAAGTAGCTGTTCAGAGATACAAGAATCCACCACAAAACAGGATTAAAGAATCATATAACCATATATTCTTTATTGATGATTCTTACATTCCAAAAGATACAATAAAACAGTATTGATAGTTGCATTAAAAAACCATCTCCAGCGCCTTGTGTGTCTACTCCTGTTCAGGGTTAAAACACAGCAACAATCCAGTTTTTTGTTTTTTTTTAAAAAAGCACGCTCTTTGTCTTACCAATAATGGTTAAATCAAATGAGAAAAGTGAAACAAGACACTTAGTGTTTTCTAAAAAGTAGATCCCTTCACCAAATATTAAAATAAAGCAAAACCACCCACCTAGTGTTTAAATGGCCATTTACTCTGGCTTTGTGGCTCTTGACAAGCATTTGAACTCTCTCAAGTCATCAAAAGGTATGTGTTGGGGGAGGGAAAAGATCAGGGTTTTCTCTATCAGAGTCCTAAATTAGAAGTGTCTCCTCCAATCTGTGGGCCTGCATGCATTGGGCCTGCAATTCCCATAGTTCTAAGCCAATGAAACTAGGAATTCTGGGAGATGCAGTCTTAGCTTAGGGTGCAGAAGGTAATTTCTATACGTTGGATAAAGTTTTGCAAAGAGATTTTCCCTTTCCTCCACTTGCATGCAAGCCATGAATTCTAGAAAAAGACTTCTTGCTAAGTGGAAAAGTATCCTTAACTTTTCCTTATCATTTTCTCTTCTAACAGACCATAAAAAACCTGAGGACTGCTCAGGTATCAAGTCATGGCTGGGAAATTTCCATATTTTTTAACCCCAGCCTCCAGTGGGGAGATTGAAGAGAGCAATTCAAATGCCTTGACTATGGGTTCAGGGGTGTGAAGGGAGTGGGACAGCCAAGACAAACAATCCATGTAAACCAAAAGATATATGGGGCAGGGAGAGGACAGCACACATGAAAGACCATTCTAGCAAACAGAGAAGTGCCTGCTAAAGAAGAGCTAAATATTTTAAAAGACTAAACTGTAGTTCAGTTCCTTATGCTAAAAACCGTAGAAAATGGGCTGAGCTTTGGAGCTTGCTTATTCTCAGCCTCCAGAGGGATCAACTAGTAGCTAAAGAGCTGTTTCTTCTTCCTCAGGTTGAACCTCCAAATTCCCTTCTAGGAGAACAGCTGGAGATATTGTCTCCTCATCCATGGGACTTCCAGAGCCACCAGCCACAGCCATAGGCAGCTCAGAGGATCTTTGAGACTCTTCAAGCCCCAGAGATGCTGGATCAGGATTTCCAGAGGCAGCTGGTGGTGGTCCAGGCATAGGAGGGTCAACTGGAGCTGGGGCAGGAAGCTCAAGAACCATTTCTGGATGCTCATTGTCCAGCATGATCATCTCAGTGCGATCTCGGAAATGAAAGATGACAAATGCAATCCAAATGCAAAGGCATGTGGCACCAATTATTATCAGGACTAGCCCAATGTTTTTGATGGTGGCTGAAAAATAGGAAGCCAGATGTTACTTTCCTTAAACAGCTGAATGCCATGCTTTCCTTTATCTGCCGAGGTTCTTTTCTAAATTTCTGTGTCATCCAGTATACACTGGAATGGGCCAGCCAATACACTGGAACAAACTAAACAACTGAATCTGTAATAGTACAAAGCATAAACTGTCCAGTTAGGTGCACACCAAAGACTCAAATATTGGCATGAGAATCGACACCTGTAATCTGGATAATCCAAACTGTGAGTTAAGATAATACTAATCTGACCATTCTTGGCCTTCGGCAACACAATAAGATATTTTAAAAAACCAAAGCTAAAACTTCCACTTAGCTTCACATTGCTGTACCAAAGACTCAAACGTTGGTTTGACAGTCAACAGCTACACTCATGCAGCACGCTTAATCTGGTTAACCCATGCTCTAATTTAAGAGAATACATTCACGACAAGGGCTGGCTTTGGGCAACACTATAAGATATTCAAATAATGAAACCTAAAACTCACCCAGCTTTTCATTGCTATACAAATTAGTGCTAAGGTGAACAAGGATGAGCACAATCAGTGTGTGCTTGGAAAAAGAACTGAGGTGCAGAAAAGAACATTTTAAGAGGTAAGTGTGAGACAAGGATTTGCATATTAACACATTTTTCACGAAGAGGTAAAAATAAGTCTCTCTTAGCTCAAGTTCTTGTGTCCTTACAACTGTATGATTTTCTTGAGAATTGTATGGATTATGACAGTTTCCTCCATTTTTCTTCTCAATGTGTTACTCTGTTTCATTGCTGTTTCTCTACAAATTTTTAAACTAGTCACGCTCTAGTGTTATTTAGGTACCATTTCCTGCCATGGATTTCTTTACAGTATTTAGCCCAGTCTCTCTGAACCTTGGCTACTTTAAGAAGTGTGGACTTCAACTCCCAAAACTCCCCAACCAGCACAACCTGGCTGAGGAATTCTGGGAACTGAAGTTCATCTCAAATGTGCCCGTTTCAGGCAACCCTTCTTTCAAACTCAAAATCCAAATAGCTCATCAACTGAGAAATGGACCTCATCCTCTTACATAGATCCTCAGGTGACGTCTCTCCTGCTCCTTGGTCCTCAGTCTCTTCCGTGACCCTTGAACAGCTCGTCTGGTCTAGGCGATCCTTTGGGGATGAACAGCAGTAGGATGCAGTGCAGGTGCCACAACAAAATATATCAGCCGGATGATTGGATTCAATAGGGCATAGGAAGGTCTCAACGGGAGTCACCTGTCCCTGAATCCATGTGTGACACTGCTCAGCTTGCACCGGAACAAGGCCCGCATCTAAGATTAAAAATGTACACCGTATAAGAGAGCATCCATTCTGCAACATACATTTGCAGAGCCGGCTGTCCTTTTAGGATCGGTTAAGCAATGGCCAATAGCTCAGCGCAGCAATGGAAGAGCTGCCTTACTCGGCAGGGAGCCCTTAAGAGGAAAGTAATCACCGATGCCACGCGAGATAGTTTCTTCCTCCCGGTGTGCCCCAAAACGTCTAGGAGACCCGATGATGGTGAGCTGGGTCTCATCACTTGCACTCTTCGCTTAACGCAGGGAGAAGGCGCAGAGGATAGCGCAGCAAGGAGATAGAAAGGGCCGGTTGCTCAATCCTATTACTCATCCCCCCCAAAAAAAATTACTTTAGGACATAGCCTTTCTTACCTTTCGACCCTTTCGTGAGGGATCGGCTTATCTCTCCCACTAAGACACCGCTAAGCAGAGGCCAGGAACGGCTGGTGTCTTTCGCACCAGGGTCGTCAGCTCCTGCCGTCCCTGGGTCTGGAGGGGAGATTTCGGCTCGGTGTAAGGAAGACTCCCCGGAGGCGTCCGAGCGTCCCGGACATTGCATGGGGTCATCCAGCAGCGGCTTTCCGTAGGGTTCCCTCCTACCCTCCCCGGCCGTGCAGCCTAGGAGGAAGAGCAAGAGGAGGGTGCGCGGGAGAGGTCTTTCCATGGTGCAGAAGCGTCCTAAACCGTGGTTTCCCTTTCTCCTCCCCACCCACCTTCCTCCTGTTCCTACGTTCTTCTTTCCAACCTGAAGAATCGCTTTTTCACCCTCGAGCGTGGGGGCTAAAACTGGCCTCACCTGGTCAGGTTAATATGCACCTGCTCCACCCATCCACATCTGCCTCCGAGGTGCAGAGAACTGAGCCCTTGGAAGTAGGCCTGGGGCTCAGCTTATGGATAGGACTGTTGCTTTGAATTATATGACTTGATTAGTCAAGATTCCTTGTTCCTATTGGTTTGAAAAATGATTTATGTTGAAGGAGCGATTTGGTGAAATTCTAAGGTAAAATGTCAAGATTTAGGCTTCAGAGTTAGGCAAAGTTTTATCTTGGCTAAAAATGGAATTACTGTCATTTCTTCATAAGAGACTTAGGCTGCTCCAGGACAGTGCCGATCATTAGGTTCCAACAACATATTATTGTAGGATTTAAAAAGGTTAAATCACGGCAGCTGGACCAACGTTGCTTAGAGTTGGATAAACTCAGAGAAGGTTGTTTGTTGCTCAGGAGCAATTGTTATTTTAGCAGGTTCTGTGAATCAGTGTTTCACATTAAGCCATAGTAGGCTTTGTTTGATGTGTAATAAAACTATTGCAATTGTTCTGTTAATCCGGGTTGGAGATATTGTGGGAATATGACTGTTGCATTTAATGCCGTAGGGCCTAGAGAAATGTGTTTAATGGATCTCAGCCTTTGGAAATTTATAGAAATATCTTAATTCAGCCAGTGGACTATAATCCTGTTCAATGGGTTTTGCAGCTTGAACCAAGCCCTAATTACATGAGGATTAGTTAGTGCATGAACACAGCCACTGTCCTTCATTCAATGAATCATGGCTAAATCAAATCATGCCCTACCTAGCTAGATGTGTGAATCCAGCCACAGACCAAATTTATGAAATTGGGTTAAATGTTGTTTGTTGGATCAAAACAGCATTCACAGACACACATGAGCACCACATAGCTGCATTGGGACACCAGGTTAAACCTGGTTTTCTGTACATGCCTACATTAAACTGCTCAACGCTTTGGGTTGGATTGGAGAAGTGGCTATGTAGCCCAGAACCCCCTATGAATACCAGAGTGTCTGAGGTCACATTTTGCCAAAACCAAATAGATCACATGGGTGACCAATCTCTCTGAAAGAGCAACATCTTTTAAAGAAAAGAGCACATCTGCCAGCCATGTAATGAACCAAAAACTTGCATCTGATGCTTACTTCACTCTACATCCTTTGATGCTTTTAGAAGGATTCATGGCAGGACCTAAAAATGCCAAGTAATGAGTGGAGCCTCTTCAGAGATTCAAAAATGCACCAGAAACCAGGATTAAAACATCACACAGCCACATATTCTTTATTGATGATTGTTACATTCAGAGAGATACAATAAAAACTTTGTACAATGAAAAAAGGCTTTGACCCTTGCCTGTCTACTCTTCAAAGCTAAAACACAGCAAAAGTCACACAACCCTTCCTGCTTAAAAAGGCCTGCTCTTTGTCTTATCAATAGTGGCTAAATCAAATGAGAAAAGTGAAACAAAAGATCGTGTTTAAATGGCAACTTACTCTTTGTTGTGTCTCCACAAGCATTTGAGCTCTCTCAAGTCATCAAAAGGTGTGTGTTGCGGGAAGGGAAGAGAACAGGGGTTTCTCTACCTGAGCCGAAAGTTAGAAGTGTCTCATCCAACCTCTCCTCAAGGAGGCAGACCTCAAATGCCTCCTCTTTCTAGAGAATTGTTCTCATGCTTTCCTTGATTAAAAGTAAAATTTATGGCTCCATTTTATTATTTATCAGATGGTTTTTAGTCTGGGCTATCCATCTGATTTTATGTCTGGAGTTGTTTGAGAGGGTTTTTTTTTTTTCTAGTTGTGTATGCCAGCTAGTGTCTACTGGAGTTGGGCAGCCAATAAATTGAAATAAAACAATTGTCTGACTCTGTAATGACATGATGAAAATATCCTGGTTGAATCCACACCAGACTCAAACCTTGGTTTGAGAATCAGCAGTTACATTCATGTAGCATGCTTAATCTAGTTACCCATACTCCGAGTTAATTGCTGGCTGTATGCAACAAGATCATGCAAAAATAATCTAATCCTGTGCAAATGAGTCTGCTTAATATTTATCCAGGATGAACAAGAGTGAGCACAACCAATGGGTGCTCTGGAAATGGGATTGACATGCAGCAAAGAAGGAAGATTTTGCCAGCCTAGACAAGAATTTGCATATTAACACATTCTTGAGCCCTGGTGGCACAGTGGTTAGAATGCAGGTTGACTCTGCCCATGGTCTGGATTTCAATTCTGATGGGGCTCAAGGTTGACTCCGCCTTCCATCCTTCTGAGGTCAATAAAACGAGGACCCAGATTGTTGGGGGCAAGATGCTGACTCTGTAAACCACTTAGAGAGGGCTGTACAGCACTGTGAAGCAGTATATAAATCTAAGTACTATTGCTATTGCAATTTCAGAAAGGGGAAAAATAAGTCTCTCTTGACTCAAATTCCTACATTCCCATGAACACCCCCCTTATGGTTTTCTTGGGAACAGTGGATTACAACTTTCTTTTTCCTTCCCAGGTTTATATCCTCAAAATTCCTAGCTGTGCCTAATCCAAGCTGGTTAGCTTTCAGGTAATTATCCCATCTTATTTTGGTGTAGTGCTATGGGTTTCTTTACGGGATTTGGCCCACTGTCTCTGAATTTGGGCATTTTAAGAGGTGTGGATTTCAACTCCCAGAATTGCCCAGCCAACACAGTTTGGCTGAGGAATTGTGGGGGTTGAAACCCACCCATCTCAAAGCTGCCAAGTTTGAGACCCTCTGTTTTTTTTCTCTCTTCTTCCAAAGTCAAAATCCAAATGGTAGCATAATGGAGCTATGGATGCCATCCCCTTATATGGCTTCTCAGTTGGGATCAAAACAGTATTTCCTGCTCCTTGGTCTTCCATCTTCTCAATGAACCTGGAAGAGCTTCTCTGGTCTAGGCGACCTTTTGGGGACGAATAGCAGTAGGATGCCATGGAGGTGTCACAGCAAAAAATATTAGCCAGGTGATTCTGTTGGGTGGGGCACCAGAAGATGTCAACTGTAGTTGCCTGTTCCTGAACCCATTTATGGCACTCCTCGCATTTCAGCTGACCAATCCCAACATTTAAAGTTTAAAATAAAGCAAGCCTCCAAAGTAGTCCTGCTGAGCACACACACATATTTGCAGAGCTGGCTCTACCGTTAAACAATGGCCAGTTGCAGAGACAGGCAAGGATTTAATCTTATAAATTTAATTAGATACTTGGAGAAACATAGTAAAGATCCATGCAGGATGGTAAACAATGAATAGCTACATCATTCTTGTGGGGAAAAATAAAGAGCTAACCTGAACAAGGGTCAAATCTGAGACAGGTTCCTAAGGATTATAAAAGGCATGTTTTAAACATTGCTTTACAAAGGAAAATTCAAGAGTAAAACCAAAAAGCTAAATAACACATCTAAAGGACATCTTTTTGAAATGAACGAAGGGCTGTATGTTCATTGTTTGCAGAGCGGCTCCCAGTCAGGTGTATGACAATCAAAAGTCGCCCTTATTGTTATGCTCAGCACCGGGAGGGAAGAGATAGTTGACTCTGGAGGGACACTTAAGGGAAGCAGAGTAACTATTCGAGACTTTCTTCCTCACGGTGTGTCTCAAAACTTCCAGGAGACGGAGAGTGTCTCCAGTGGTGGAGAACTGGGCCCTGTCACTTGCGCTCTTAAAAAACTGAAACTCTTGGAAATGGAAGAAAGAGAGATTCAAACTAGAAATAAAGAGAAATTTTCTGACAGAGCAATCAACCAATGGAACAGGAGTTGCCTTCAGAAGTTGTGAGAGCTTCATCACTGGAAGCTGTCAAGAAGAGACTGGATTGCCATCTGTCAGAAATAGTGTAGAGTCTCCTGCTTGGGCACGGAGTTGGACTAGATGACCTACAAGGTCCCTTTCAAATCTGTTAACTTTGCACAGTTCGAAAGCAGCACATTAAAAAAAATGCTGGAGGCCGCCTGCAGATGCCCCATTAGTCAATATCCCTTCCCCAACCCCCGTGGAGCACAGTCCTTCTTACCCGGTGGGTTGGTGGGAAATTGGCTAAACTCTTCTGCTAAGCCAGAGCCCAGAGATGGCTGGTCTCTTTCACAGGCAGGCCGCCAGCCCGTGTCTTCCCTGGAACATAGGGGAAGTTGCTGCTTGGTGTAAGGAAGATTCCCTGGAGGCGTCCAAGCGGTCTGGGCATTGGATGGAGTCATTGAGCAGCTGCGATTCATAAGGGCTAAGGCGACAGGTGCCGTTGCTCTTAGCTTTCCCCGGCTGCACATCCTAGAAGTAAAAGTAATAGGAGAATGAGGGGAAAGAGGCCTCTTCATAGTGTAAAAGCACCCTGGGCCGTGTCCTTATATCTTCTTTCCAGTCCCCCACTCTGAAGAATCGCTTTATCGCCCTCCAAAGCCCTGGAAAAGCATTTAGTCTTAATTGGCCAGAAACTTGTTCCACTGATTCACACCAGCCCCGGAGAATCGAGTCCTTGGAAGCGGGTATGAGACTTGGCTAACTCGAAAGCAGGACTGTTACTTTGACTTAGATGACTTGGATAGTCAAAGTTGGTTTGGAAAATTAAGCTAAATTGCAGGGTTTGTGGAATATTCTTGGCTAAAATGTCAACACTTGGGGTTTATAGTTGGGTGCTCTTTCTTCCTGAGAAGCCCCAACTGCCCCATGACAGTACCCATTTTTATGTTTCCATAACACAATAGACTAGGGTCAAGTTAAAGAATCTTGTTGTAGTTCAGGATCAGTTAACTTAGCAGGCTCTGTGAATCAGGCTTTTATGTTAAGCCGTAATAGGGCTTATTTGTCAGGGTCAATGTGTTATAGGAATGCTACAGTTATGCTCTGTTAATGCCATGAAATGCATTAACACATTGAGTTAACAAATCTGTAAAGTTTAGCCTCTTAATGTTTATCTAAAAAGTGTCAATTCAACCTAATTAAGGTGGCTCATCAATAAAAATAATAAAGTTTCCAACTTCCAGTCTGTGATCTGAACCACAAGCTGGTTCCTGAAAGTAACCAGAAGTTTCTAGAAGGGTTGTCCACAAAGGATCCAATTTTTCCATTTATATAAGAACTTTTGTGTATGAGAAACTGATATATTCATATTCATATCGTGCAAATGGTACTTGTGCAGTTCTTAAAATTGCAGAAAGATCTTTGGATAGCTGAGTCAAAAATAAAGGGATCTTTAACCCTCTAGATTTTGATGTGTTCTATTGTTATAGATTGCATGGAGCCCTTACTCCTTTCTACCGGTAGTTGCATGGTGCACCAGAAAAGCAAATCCCCCAAGATCTCTAAGTCTATACCTATCCAAGATGCAATTTATGTTCCATAATGGAAAAACCTTAATGCATATCAGTCGCTCTCCGTGGTGCTGAAAATGAATAGCAGCACTTAAAAATCAGTTCCAAGAAAGTGTTTCTGAACACAGGAGACCGTGGCCATCTGTAGTTCTTTAGAACAACTGCCTCTTTATCTAGGATCACCCCGGCTTCCTTCCTTGCCCCCATCACCATGGGAAATGGTGTAGTTGCTTTAAAAAGGGGGCAGACTGGGCTATCTTCATGACTCCATGTGCTCAAAACAACAAACCTGGGATCAAGTCCCAAAGGCACAGCAACTCTAGGGCTGGTTAACATTGATGGAAGTAGCTAAAACCTAGAAAGATGACCCAACCTGATCGATGGTAGAAGATGCGTTCAAGATCATAAACAAAACTCCATGCTTGTCAGCCTCAGCTTTCCTGCTTTAGCTGCCATAAGAAACGGGGAGGGATTAGGTATGGATCAAAGGGGGGGAAGAGAGCAGGAGGGGGTTTGTCTTTGTAGGAGGGGACTTCGTGGGAATCGAAACTGGATTTCAGAAGGGGATGGCTAACCAACTGTCTCGACATTCCTGATGGATGACGCTGCCAGACGTGTTGCCACCTGACCTTTGGAAGACCTTTAGATTGGCTGAGAAAATATAAACACGAGGGGGGGAAGAAGCTTAGTAGATGCATTTCGCGCGTTTTGGTCACTTCCAGCTTTTCACTGGGGTGTTAATCTTTTCATATTCAGTAAAAGTACCAAATTCTTCAAAATGCTTGAGTTTGGGGTTTTCTTTCCTGGATACTGAAGGAAGCATACCTGACAATGCTGAAATCCTGATGGAATAAATAGCATTTCTTGGCTCTTAGCAATGTCAAGAATTGTTAGACCACTAATACAGTAGGAAGGATTCAATGCCCACAGACTATATTTTGGCAGCCAATATGCTTAACAAGTAAGCTGGGATAGCTCTTTTTTTTTTCCCCCAAACCATTTTTTATTTTAAAACAAAAATAAAACATAAAAACATTATCATTCCAAACAATTACAGACAGTATATCGATCGGGGAGGGGCGGGGGGACTGGAAGTTGACGTTGCAGTGAAACAGACAGGAGATTCTGGGTGTCAACCTTGGAAGCCATATTAGGCCGGAAGCTTCAATGCTGCCACCTCTTCATGTGTGGGAAAATAGGAGGGGGGATTTAGGAGAGGGGAATTAGTAGACATAATAGCATTCTTCCTATCGGTCAAAGTCAGGGAGATCCAGCATCTGGAGGAGGAGGGTCAGGTGCTGGGTCAAGGTGGAACGGATGGTGATTGGAGCATCTGATCGATTGAGGAGAAAGGGGCTGGTTTGGGGAGTTTTGTATTACTGAAGGAAAGCCAGGGCTTTCGGGATTCAGATTCGGGATTTCCCAGATGTGCCAGTTTACCTATTTCTAGTAAAGAGAACTTTGGAAAATGCCTGCTTCTGCGTCTTTACTGGGAGTCGGGGGTTTTCTGGAACACTGACATTATCCCGAATCTCCTTAAAACCTAATGGCACCCCGTAAGGGAGCTGTTGGGGGTGCTGAGCCCCAGCATCTACCTAAACACTGGGTGGTGCAAAGACTCGGTGAAAATGGAAGAGAAGGAAGGAGCTATCGGGGGCCTGGGGGCTAAAGGAAGTACCGACCCCTTGCTTTCTTCCCCTGAAGAAATGGAACAGGCCATGAAGGCTGCAGAGGAAGCTTTCCGGCTCGGGGCTCAGCCCAAGGCATCAGAGTCCTGGAAGAGTTGCCAATCCCACCCAGCTTCAGGAGGGGATTTGAAGTCGCCGCATGAGAGTGACTGGAGGATGGGGGCAACATGGAGCCAGTCCTTGTCTGGACTTCCTGAATGCTTTGAATGGATGGAAGTGGGGAATTACGCACCCACTTCAAAACCCCTTGAGGTGAGATGGCAGCTAGTGCAACCTACTTTCACTTTCCCTGGCCCAGGACAAGGATGGGGGATTAGTGGAGCGCAGCGCCCCCGCCCACCCGGCCAGGTGCGAATTGGAAGGATCGATGCACCATGGCCACCCTGCAACAGGGGGATTCCAAAACCCCCCTTTATGGGCCCCTCGCCAGCCTGTGTTAGCATTACCTCCTGTGGAGAGCATACCGCCCGGATGGGCTTTTTACCCAGGCCAGGGATGGATCCAGTGCCAGTGGTATCCTGCGCCGTTTGTCCCAAGCTGCCAGGGATCCCCCTGGCCCCCTTCCTATGCCTCAACGATCTTGGCACCACGGGGGGCTGGGGCTAATCCAGCAGCCGGCTGGAATGCTTTCCCTCCAGCACAGCAAGCAGCTGAGCAGCCAGGCCCCCTCCCCCAACAACCGACACCGTTGCCCGCCCCACCTCCAACCCAGCTACCTTCACACCAACCTGTTGGAATGCAGCAACCAGGGGCACCACAGGGGGGACTAATCCAACAGCCGGCTGCACTGCCTCCCCTCCAGCGCAGCGAGCAACTCAGCAACCAGCCCCCCTCCCCCAACCACCCGCAGCTGACGCCCTCCCCCTGTGAGGCCAACACCACCCCACTTCAGAGCAACTTTTGACGGAATGCCAGCCAAGCTAGCTTACTTCCTCAGCAGGGTCTGGGCTCACGTTGATCAGTATGGTGACCAATACAAAGCAGAATGGGACTTGGTGTCGGCAATCTCAGATGGGATGAATGAGGGGGAGGCCTCTGAATGGATAGCCCTGCTAGACGATGAGGGTGCTGTTGAACTTTATGATATCAAAGGCTTTATCACACTGCCACTGTCCTGCTTTGATGAGCCAGACCGCATAAACAAAAACGAAGCCACGCTTAAACTCATGAAGCAAGGTAATCAACCAATGAAAGACTTTGTATGGGACTTTAGGTGAGTTGCAGGCACTCTGAGCCATTGGCCGGATTGCATAGTCCTGCACTACTTCAAGGAAGCCATCAACCCAGAAGTCAGAAAAGCCTGTGGAATCTGGGAACTACCTGAGTGTCTCCACGACTATTATACCATGTCCATTGCTCTGGACAGAGAAGTACACCCCCCCCCAGCCAAGCACCAGCTCAGCAGCCACCTCGTAGGGCGTTAGCAAAAAAGCCCATTTCAAAACCTGCATATTGCACCCCCCCTCCAGAAGGGGGTGTGTGATTAAATGCTATCGCTGTGGACAAACAGGACATCGAGGTTCTGAGTACTTGGCCCCTGCCCCAGTTCCACAACAACGACCCGCCACAGCTGCACGAGGGAGGAGAGCTCCAAAGAAAACCTCAGACACCAGCCAATTCGCCAAACAAGCCATGGAGATTCCCCTCCCCACTGAAGAGAGGGGGGACCCTCCGGCTACAGGAGCACCTCCCGACGAGCCCAGCGGGGATGAAGACCCGATAGTGAGTGCCCCCATCACCCCTTTCTCAATTAAAGTAAAACTAGTCCTGCCAGAAACAGGAAAAGAAACAGAACTCCCAGCAGTAATAGACATGGGCTGCACCAGATGTCTAATCGGCCTTAAAATTGTAGAACAGTTGAGCATCAAAACAATACCCTTAAAACAACTGATTAAATTTTACCAGGTTGATGGCACGCTAATTGGGGGAGTCCCTTCCACCCATGTTACTGAACTGATTAGATTAGAAATGTGGAAACATCATGAACTCATATGATTTATAATAACCCCAAAGATGTCAGAATCTATCATACTAGGCCTGGCTTGGCTAGATAAATGGGGCCCCACCATCACATGGGAAGGTGGATACCGAAAAGTCAGGATAGGGGTTGGCCCAACACCCCTTTGCCCTCCCCTCAACCACCAACCTACCCAAAATGACCAGCAGCCAGAAACAGCAGCAGCTTGTTCAGACAAGTCTCCATGCAAACACCAAATCCCTAAGGTGTATGCAGACTTAGCCGACACTTTCAGCAAGGAGGAATGTAACCTCCTCTCCCCTCACCGGCCCACAGACTGCGCCATTGAATTACAACCGGCAGTTAAATTGCCGAAGCCTAGGTTGTACTCCATGACACCTGCTGAGATGACTGAATTGAGGAACTACATTGACACCAACCTAGCCAGAGGCTTCATCGAGCCTGCGAAATCCACCATGGCCGCCCCAATATTATTTAAAGAGAAAAAAGATGGCATTTTTAAAAAATTTGATTTATATGCCGCCCTTCTCCGGAGACTCAGGGTGGCTTACAATGCGTTAAGCAACAGCCTTCATACTTTTGTATATTTATACAAAGTCAGCTTATTGCCCCCATAATCTGGGTCCTCATTTCACCTACCTTAGAAAGGATGGAAGGCTGAGTCAACCTTGAGCCTGGTGAGATTTGAATTTACAGTAATTGCAGGCAGCAGATGTAAGTGGATGTTAATAACAGTGCTTTAGTCTGCTGAGCCACCAGAGTTCCTTTGAGGATGTGTATCGATTTTCGAGCCGTAAATGCAATTTGCATTCAAAATACCTATCCCCTCCCATTAATGAAAGACTTACTCAACCGAAAGGAAAAAATTTCACCAAACTAGATCTAAGAGAAGCCTACTACTGAGTTCGCATAAAGGAGGGAGATGAATGGAAGACCGCTTTTAACTGCCCCTTGGGCAGCTTCCAATTCTGGGTCATGCCTTTCGGACTCCAGGGGGCCCCAGGGATCTTCATGCAACTGATCAATGAGCTTTTGCATGAGCATTTATATCAGGGAGTTCTTGTTTATCTCAATGACATTCTTATATTCAGCAAAAATATGGAAGACCACGTCAAATTAGTCAGACAAATGCTGAAAAAACTCCTAGCAGCCAAACTTTATGCAAAATTGTCCAAATGCGAATTCCACAAGGAGGCCCTGGAATACCTGGGATACAGGGTGCCGAATAAGGGTATCGAAATGGACCCGGGTAAGGTGAGGGTAGTACTGGACTGGCAGCCCCCATGCACCCGTAACCAGCTCCAGAGCTTCCTGGGGTTTGCAAACTTTTACAGACAATTCATCCCTTCCTTCGCTGAGGTCGCACTCCCTTTGACAGAACTGCTAAAGACCGGCCCATCTCCCACCAAGCCAAAATCCAGCCAGCCCTTAGCTTGGACAATGGATTGCCAAAAATCTTTTGAACGGTTAAAACGCCTATTTGTGGTGGAGCCGGCCTACAGCATCCTGACCCAACTAAGCCCTTTGTGGTTCAGGCTGACGCAAGTGATGTGGCCGTAGCGGCTGTTCTACAACAAAGAGACCCCCAGAACAATCTAATGCCGTGTGCTTACGTATCAAGAAAGTTAATGGACACTGATCGCAGATGGGCAGTATGGGAAAAAGAGGCGTTTGCGGTGCGATGGGCTCTCCTGTCCTGGAGAGATTTCCTGGAGGGGGTGGAGGAGCCTTTTGAGGTTTGGACTGACCACAAGAATCTCAAGGCACTGAAGACCCCGAGGAAGCTTTCTCCAAAGCAGGTTCGTTGGGCTTAATATTTCAAACATTTTAATTTTAACCTGAAATATATCCTGGGGGGTAAAAAGCTTCTGGCTGATGCTCTCTCCCGCAAACCCCAATTTGACAGCCGACAGGAAGAGATAGTTCATGCCATGATTTCAGAGTCTCAGCCAGCCACCCAAGCCCGCACCAGAGCACAACGCACCAGGGTTCCAACCTCCCCGAAGACAAATTGACGGCGGAGCTAAAAGCGGCGCTTTCGGATGATTCCTGGTTCAAAGAGCACCAGGCGGACCTCACCCTAAGGGACAGGTTGGCGTGGAAAGGGAATAAACTCTACGTGCCCTGCAGCCTATGGCTCCTGGTACTGAAGAGAAGTCATGATTCTCACCTAGGGGGGCACTTTGGGTTTTTAAAAACCCTCCATTTGACTAGGAGGCAATTCTGGTGGCCAAAAATGAAAACCGAAGTGGAAGACTATGTCAGGAGCTGTGCCACCTGCGCCACCATGAAATACCGACCAGGGAAGCCCCCGGCTTTTTCCAGACTGTGGTCGAACCCACCAAGCCTGGGAGGAGATTGCGATGGACTTCATAGTTGAGCTCCCCGACAGTGGGGGCAACCGAGTCATTTGGACTGTCATTGATTTATTCTCCAAGCAAGCCCACTTCATTGCCTGCAGCGGACTATCCTTGGCTAAAAAACTGGCAAAGCTGTTTGTGAAACACATCTACAGGCGACATGGAATCCCAAGAAGAATAATATCGGACCGTGAGGTCCAATTTGCTGGTGATGACCTATAAAGCCCTACATGGCTTAGGTCCAGGATATTTGTCGGACCATCTGCAACCAGCAACAGCTCCCCATCGCCTGGTGCGTTCTCACAGGGAGGGCCTACTCAGGGTGCCATCAGCTAGACAGTGTCAACTGATGACCCCTAGCAGTAGAGCTTTCTCTGTGGGTGCTCCCACCCTCTGGAACCAACTTCCTCTGGGGCTCCGGTTGGCCCCTGACTTCCGCACCTTCCGCCGTGACTTAAAGACATGGTTGTTCAGCCTGGACTGGGGGGGGGGGTAACATGTATTTTAACACACTTTTATTTGGATATTTTATTGTTGTGAGTTGCCCTGAGTCCTATGGAGATAGGGCGGCATATAAATAAAATAAAATAAATAAATAAATAAAATTTACCGCTAAGTTTTGGAGGGTGTTTCTATGATCCATTGGGTCATCTCAGGGACTTAGTTCAGCTTTTCACCCATCGACTAATGGATCGGCTGAAAAATTGAACTCAATGGTGGAGCAATACATTAGGTGTTATGTGAATTATCAACAAGAGAGTGTGGATGAGATTTATCGAGTCTACACTAGATATGCAATGCGTAACAAGTTGCCACAAGAAGTACATATAAGATTTACTAAGAAATCGATCAAAACACAAATTCTTCAAGTTGCCAGAGAAAAAACTTTGAATAATGCAAGGAGAAAGAAGTAGTGGTCTTGAAACAAAAAGCAAGAAAAGTGAGAGAGATAATATCAATTTTTGACCAAAATATTAATCCAAAAAGGAATTAACTACAGATGGCTGATACCAGAAGGGTTAATTTTAATGTGGCAGCTTCAAAGATATAGATTGGATACAATTGATAAAGTGAGAGCCTTCTATGAAGATTTTCTTAAAATGCCAATGGAAGTGCCAATGGAAATGGAAACCCAAACTGCAGTAGTGCCATTAAAATTCACAGAAGAGGAACTGGCAATGTTTGAATCAACAGAAGGTGGGATTGTGGAACACAAGGAGCAACGTGAAGTTAGATCAACTAGAGCAACTAAACCTACATATAAAGTATGAATATGGAAGGAACGAAATTAATTTCAATAAATATAAACGGACTCAATTCGGTAGTGAAAAGGAGAAAGGTATTTCATAACTTAGAGAAATTAAAATTTGATATAATCTGTCTACAAGCAGTTCATATTAAAAAGCAACATGAACAATTACTGATACAACCCAAACTTGGAAAAACTTTTTTATCATTGTCACAAAGTAAAAAGAGAGGAGTTGTTTTATATATTAGAAATTCAATATTGGCGGAGCAAATATATGCAGATCCAGAAGGTAGAATTTTGATGGTGGATATAATTGA